AGGAGCCCAGAACATGTGCAAAGTAACTTCAATACGGATTACAGGTATTAATGCAGTTACCAAAATACAATATTATTTCAACTTAATGGGTCTTTAGAAGGAGAACTATGAGGGGCGTGCTTTTCACTCAGCCTCATAGTTCTAGCCGACCTGTGACAATGAGACTGTCACAGGTCGGCTCAGTAGATCGGGAGGTAAGCGAACACATACCGGCGTTCGCTCACCTCTCGATTCTGTCACGGCTCTCTGCTGTGACAGGGGAGGGGCTGGATTCCCCCCTCCCCGCTCCGCCAGCACTGACTGGCGGAACGGACGGGAGAGGGGCGGGTACAGCTGGCTCTGCCTCTAGATAGGCAGAGCCAGCTGTCAGTCACGCAGCTGGGCGGATCCCGGCACAATTGTCGGGATCCGCTAGTTTGTGTACTCCCGTTAACCTAAGGGGAACTATGGGGAAAAGCCTTAACCCATTAGTTCTCCTTTAAAGCTGAACTCCAGGCAGATAAAAGACAAAATGAATACAGCTCTGTGTATATTAAAGTTTATCTAAGCTCAAGAACAAAAAAATTGGATTTTTTTTCTTACCGTAAAATCCTTTTCTCGGATTGAGGGTCACAACTCTGAAGAAATCTGAGGTTATGCTGCTGCCTCCATGTGTCAGAATTCTTCAGGGCTGTGTCCCTCAATGGACGATATAGAAATGTAATGTATTGCACCTTACCAGCCCTCCGATGTGGCGGCCGCATTAGTTATCTTCCCTCTGGCTTTTTTCCCTTTTATTGTCACCTGGTGATCCTGCAAATAATCTAGGGTATCATCCAGACTCACCCAGTCCTAGAATGACAACACTTGCTGTCCTGTAACTATGGAAGTGCAGAGTCATCACCCTGGAACGTGGTGTATTATTTGCAGCATCACCAGGTGAAAAATAAAAGGTAAAGCCAGCTACAGGGCACCTCTGTCATGTAGTCCTAAGAGACCTGGAAACTGCTCGTGGATAGCAGGGTGTCATAGGCAGAAAGCAGAGGGAGTTATCAGTTCACGAGAATTCTTGCAAGATCGAGATATTTATTTGCACTTATTAAACAAATACAATCATTGAAAAAGTTTTCATACAACAGACTGAAGCAAATAGGAGAAGAGGTCACACTGGGAGGCACAGAAGCAGCACGAGGAGCCAATCAGTTTTGCTGCACTGCTCACACGCTAACATGGAATATGCCGATAGGAGGAGAGAGCAGAGTGACAGATGCGCTCGTTAGTCACAGGCAGGGGGAGGAGCAAGACCTGCAGCACAGAAAAATGAGGTCTCCTGCCCTACCAAGCCTATGCTGTAAGGCAGGCCGTGTATATCTCAAGACTGAATGAACAGAAATATTAATTCTTTGGCAGGTAAAACACCTCCCATATATGCATTTCATCTGTGTATTTAGCGATTGGCCTGAAGATCAGCGCTAAAGCGAGAAGATGACCTATAAAAATAAAACCAATATACAGCCACACTCCTTACCAGAAAACCCCTTTAAGTCAAACTGATGAACAAGATGCCACCAGCAGACCAGACATATAGGGGGGAATCAAAACTGGAGCAGACAGAATCTGGAGCAGCTGTGCATGGCAACCAACCAACCAGCCTCTCACTTCAGTTTGTTCAGTTAAGATTTGAAAATGAGAGAGAAGCTGATTGGTTGCCATGCACGGCTGCTCCGGATTTTGATAAATCCCCCTCATAAGGACACTATATTGCCAAAAGTATTGGGACGCCGGCCTTTACACGCACATGAACTTTAATGGCATCCCAGTCTTAGTCCGTAGGGTTCAGTATTGAGTTGGCTCCGCCCTTTGCCGCTATAACAGCTTCAACTCTTCTGGGAAGGCGTCCACAAGGTTTAGGAGTGTGTCTATGGGAATGTTGGACCATTTGTGAGGTCAGGTACTGATGTTGGAGAAGGCCGGGCTTGCAGTCTCTGCTCTAATTCTCCCCAAAGGTGTTCTATCGGGTTGAAGTCAGGACTCTGTGCAGGCCAGTCAAGTTCCCCGCCCCCCCTCCAAAAAAAACTCCCCCCATCCATGTCTTTATGGGGGCCGTCCCCAAACTCCTCCCACAAAGTTGGGAGCACGAAATTGTCCAAACTGTCTTGATGCTTTCTTTTGGTGGTATTTAATCACCACTGGGGTTTTATTTTTCACTATATAATGAAAAAAGTACTGAATATTTGAAAAAAAAAAAACCTGTCTTCCCTACGTTATGGTATAAAACAATTATTATTACCCACATTTTTGGTAAAATATAAAAGTTGGGTTCATGTCGGGTAAATAGACACCAAACATGTTAAGCTTTAAAATTGCGTGCGTCCCAGAACTCGCAAAAGCTACCATACCCAAAATTGGCCATAGGTGACGCTTTAAAAGCTGTTACCGCTCATCAGTTTAGTGTTATCAGTGATTGATGGCCCTAAAATGATTGCTCTCACTGCGACGTTTGCGGCGATACGTAACATGTGCGGCGTAATGGATGCAATCGTCGTTTACGCACTTAGGCGCACTCAACGCATTTTTTTTTATTACCTTTATGAGACTTTTAATTTTTTTTATATATTTTTTGTAACTAATTCTTTTAAACTAGGGCTGGTAATGATTAAAAATTTCCTGTTCGATTAATCGAAAAAAAATTTAAATCGATTAATGATAACGCACATACACATCCAACTACATTGGCCTATACACATACAGCACAGCAATGAAGTCATAAAATGAACTAGGATCACGCTAATCCAGCACGTTATTAATCTCACGTGCCCCACTCAATATGGCCGCCGCTTGAGAGCGCCCCCCTGAAATGATGGCAGATAGCACAGGAAGCAATAGCTTCTTTGCGATCTGCACTTTTTTTTTTTGCAGTTGTCAGAATAAAAAAAAAAAAAAACGCATAAGAACGCATAGCTAGAATCCTATTGGCTATTTCACTTTGCAATAGCCTATAGCAAACTAGCTATTGCACCCGCCCCCTGCTGCTTTCAATCACCAGAAGAGGACCTGATAGAAAAATTCAGGTCCCCCTCTGCTGATTGACAGCAGCAGTGGGCGGGTGCATTAGCTAGTTTGCTATTGGCTATTGCAAAGTGCAATAGCCAATAGGAATCTAGCTATGCAATCGTATGCCTTTTTTTTCTTTTCTGACTGACGGTCAGGCCGCGGCTCCCGATGTCAGAAAAGAAAAAAAAAACGATCCCAGGGAAAGGTTTAATCTGCTCGATTGAGCAGATTAAACCTTTCTGGTAAAAAGTGTGTCTCTCCCAGGCGGCCGGGAGAGTTAGGATGTGTACTCACCGGCCCAAGCAGCTCCATCAGGTAACGAAGGGAAGGGGGAGGAGTCCAGTGACGTCACGG